ATTACAGGTTAATTAATTGTGCCAGTTGTAAAAATGATGAAACTCTGAATGTAAATATAATCTGATGGTTGCAATTTAATAATATTTTACTGAATATTCCATCCCAGCCTGGGCTAGATATCAGACCCTGTCTCAAAACAAATCAAAAGCAAAACATAAAAATATAGAAAGCTGTCACTTAAGTCCTAGTCGGAGTAACTAATAAAGCTATTAAATAAAACAAATCTTTTTGATTTGTTAATAGTTTAAATGTTAGTTCAATGTCCTTATTAAACATTTCATCTTATAACTGTTTCAGACTTACAGAAAATTTAATAAAGTAATATAGATTTTTATTGAATCTGCATCTATTAGTAATAACTTATATTGGTTATCAAACTGGTTATAATTAGTGAACCAATGTAGATCTCCTATGGCTTAGTCTTTAAATGCTGTGCTGACTTCATCCGTTTTTTGCTGAACTTATTCTCAGAGTCTACTGAAAATAATAACTTATATGTGAAAAACACATATTCATATATTTGTATAAGAAAAGTTAAAATAGTGAGCTTATTGGTTTTAAAGTGGTTTAACATCCTTTAAAAGTGTGCTGATAAACTGTTCTCCACACAAATAAGACTGGAAAAAGAGACTTAAAGTAAAATAAAAACAGTAATTATTGGGCACAAACTAGGTCTTTGCATTAAAAAGAAATGCTGCTTTAAGTATGAGACATATTTAATTATCTCCAAAACCAGAATTAATTGGTTTTCTTCCTCACACATATATTTACCTATATGAAAGTAGAGATTCAAATTAATTGATTTAGATTTATTCTAGACAAAATGGAATAGTAGGCATATTTGTGTGTTGAAATAAATAATCATAAAACTGGACAAGCTACAGGAGGCATGGAAATTTCCAGCAACCCAGCAAAGGGGAGATGAAGGGTCACTTCCCGTAGAGTTACAGAGGGACTTAGGGAGAGCAAGGATCTATAAAGCTCACCAAAACCTTCCCTACACATTAATGATAAATCCATGTAGGTGAAAGGAAACTTGTGAAGTTGGAGAAGAGCAACCTGATGGAATAATCAAAGAAACTCATAGCACAAGTGTCTGGAAATCATTCCATTTCCCTCCAGGTACAGCAGAAAATTGGCAGAGGAATCAAAGGGATGTTTTGCTTAGGCAAAACAATCAAAGATTAAGTACTGATTGAATTTCACTTAATGTTCCATGGGAGCAAAAAGATCAAACTGTTTCCATGTAAATCACCTTTACCCCAGAACAAAGCTTGGGAGTGTTTACAGAAACACAAAAATGTGCACCAGGCCAAATGTTAAATAACAACATCTGGCATCCAATTGATTTTTCCAAAGCATGCAAAGAAACATGGAAATAATACTCATTCCGCAACACACACACACACACACACACACACACACACAAGTCAATCAAAACCAGATCACAAATGATGCCAATGCTAAAGTTATCTAGGAAAAACATAAGAAAACAGTAAGGTTAACTGTGCTTCTATGCTTACGGAGTTAGGAGAAATATATCCACAGTAAATAGAGATGTAAAAGATAAAAAGAGAGACCCAGGTCATTCTTACTTGAGTAAAACAGCCGAAGTGGGGGACAGAGTGGATCCTGTCAACAGATCAGACACTGCGGAGGGAAAGACCAATAAATTAAAGACATAGAAAAACCACATTCAGACAGAAAAATACAGTGAAAAACAATAAATTAATTATACGGTACCTACTAGCTTTCCAAATCCATAGCATAAAATCCAAATAGGGCTGCTGTGGGAGGTAGGATTGTATGTTGCTCTCACTTTTGGTTACCACTGACTCTGTGTCCTGCCATCTCCATAGCCTGTGAAGACTATGCCATCTTGTATTTTCTGGTCCTCTGGGAATTATGACCCTATATGCCTGTTATTCCTGCTGTTACTTGCTCCCTAACTATCTGCCCAGAGGCTATATGTAGCATGCCATTGCCCTCCCCCTGAAAGAGTTAATGTTACGTGACTGTCAAAGCTGTAAAAGCTGTAGCTACAATGCGTGCCTTTCTCATACCAGCCCCTATGTTCCTTCTTCACTACTCTTCTTTCATTCAATTTTGTTCCAAGACTTTGCAAATTCTCATTCTAAAGAAAAGTAAATCTAGTCCTTCCAGATCTTCTACATAAACTTTAATATCTGTTCCAATCAATGCACACAAAGGAAATTAATCTCTGCATAAGTGGACTTATCCATAGAGGAAATTATACCTAAGAGGAGTTTGTGTTTGTTTGTTCCTATTCTACTTATGCTGGGTTCAGAGGACAGAAGTAGTGACATTTATTCTCTTCCCTTTTGATAATTAGAACAGAGTTTTTATATACTGTTATTTGTAAATTCCAATTATTTACCCCACCAATCATACTCTGTGTACTCATTGAATGGCAGAAGGGATTAATTTATCTTATAAACAGTAATGCTCTTCGAATTATGCCATGGGTCTTCAATGGTGGATGTAGCTATGGGCTATGGTAATCTAGGATATCCCCTCTCCAATATGGCAGCAGAATAACTCACTCCATATTTAATTAATGACTGATAAATTTTGTAAACAAATCCATATCACACATGTAGAAACTCACATCTGAGGATTTAACTAATGTGTGACTTACATATTGGACAACTTTATGAAACTGGGAAATATATACTGCTGTGGTGACTGTTCTCCAGATTAGTCTGTTGCCTATTGTGAGAAAAAAATATCTCCCACTTCTAGTTGAGGAGCTCCTGTCAACTGATGCCTACTATTAGAATGAGAATCAGATTTTTCCAGAGATGCATGTCCAGGGTCCTACACATGCTTCAGGAGGTGGTCCTGTATCCATGTCTGTACAGGCAGCACAGTACAGGAGTCATTAGGTTTCAAAACAAAGCACCTGGAGTTGGGGCAATAAAGGAGGTGGGAAGATGGATACATATTGGAGGGGAAAGATTGTGGACTGGACTTAATGAAAATACATAATATTCATGCATGAAATTCTCAAAGAGTAAACAAGATTTTTAAAAAACCTCCAAGATCCAATACAGAGAAGGGAGGTATGTTGTTACTTAGCCAACTAAGGTACAATGAGAAGAAGGGGAGGTGTGTTACTACTTAGCCATCTCCTTACTCAATAAACAGAATTGTAACTTGACTCAATCCATTCGGGGTTTGATGAGGAATCATAAAATATGCGTTAATAGTGTTCCTAGTATTAAAGGGATTTAAATAAATGGGACTGTTGAAATACACACCTGGAATGCATGTAAACTCAGTGAGGATGCTTCCTGATGTCAAAGATAGAAAAGATGACTCTAGATGTACTAAATTCTGATGAGTAAGCCCTGGGAGACATTTAGAATTTCTAACAAGATAACTTAGCTACGAGTGTTCTCACGGCAAAGGAATGTTCTTCCTCAGTAAAAGAAGATAGCTTTGGCCTATATGCTGATGTTTAACCATAGCCATCTGTGAAAAACATCTGAAAACAAGGCTCAGTACTGGCTACATTGGATTGCTGTGCTTAAGGTCAAGCTTATAGCCAACCATGCTGAGGACTTCCGTGGTAGATAATGGTCCAGACTTTCCACCCAGGTTCTTTTCATTATATCCTGGAAAACACCATTGAGCTTTTTTGAATTGTGTTGGTGTTTTAAATGCAAGAATTTAAGCTTAAAAACATTGCATCTGAGAGTATAATAATTGAAGGGTAGTTAATGTACAAGCTCTGGCTATATTTTCTTGGGCAACAACAACAAAAAATGTTAGCTGTTGTTGCTTTGGGAAGGCAAAAACTGAAATATGGGACTAAGAAAGCTAGCTAAGGTCTATTATTTCCCCATCCCAACAGGTACCACTAAGAGCTTCCAGAGGCATGCGGTGTAAGCAAGCACTCTCCTGAAATGAAGCTCTTCAAGGAACAATGAGAGGCCATTTATCTAAATGGCATGGCCTAAATTGAGTAGTACAGTGTGGTGATGTAACTATGCTGCAAACATAATTTGGTTAACAGAATAGCCTAGAAACTTTCCCTTCCTTTGCAAGCATACATTGTGACTCTAAATGTCTGATAGGAAAAAGAAGCTAGATTGCCTTTCTCTGTTAAACAATATGGAAAACATGAGTTATTTTAAAAAAAAAATGTGTATGAGGAGACGCTCATTTGAAAACTATAGGATACCTGGCTAGAAATAGGGCAGGCTTTCTATTTATGGCATCATTCTGAAACCCCCATAGGTATGCAGTGAAGGAGATGTAGCTTTCTTGGAATACAGCATCAATCAAAAGATGTATGTTAACAGCTCCAGTTTCACTCCAATAAAAGACAGAACAGTGACACATACTCTTTGGGTGTGGATCTTCATAAAGTTTGCCAGGATTTTCAGGTCATCATTCCTTACTGGGAAAGATACCCTAGGAAACAATATCTAAATTAGGCTTCCCAGAGGTCACATGGGCTATAAATTTAGCTTAATTCTCTGAAGAAATATTATGTGCCTGACATCAATTTTCTCGATTTTATTTCTCACTTCTCTAATACTTTTTTTTAATACTTTGCATGTTAAGATATATTCTTTTTATTTTATTAATAAGTGACTTTAAGTAAATTATCAGCAATTATACAGAAGTATTGGTAGTTTTTTATTTTTTTTTTAACAGTAACTTTGAGAAACTGTTAAGACTGTTAAAGGAAAATTGTTTCTAGTTAGAACTTAGGTGAAGAGGACCAGATTGACTTTGACATGGTGGTCACTGGAAAGATGTGACACTGATCGTGTACCTTTTATGATTTAGTGGGAGGACTGTTGGGTAGGCAACTGAGTAACATTCTAATGAGATGCCAGGAGGATGGGCTACAGACAGAGCCAACACCCAGCACCCATGGTTTATAAAGAGGTCTGGCATGTAACAAACTTCATCTTGTTCTCTGCAGCTTGATCAAGGCCTGCTTGTCTACCCTTCTATTGTTATCATGTCCAATAACTGCAGCCCAGAAGCCTCCAGCTCTTCTTCTCTTAGAAACTCTAGCCGTGTTCCTGTCACCTCACCCACTGGCCTTTGCTCTACTGAGACGAGGTGTAGAGATGCCCCTTGCTCTCCTACCAACAGCCTGGGCAGCAACACATCATGTGACAACTGCCATGAACCCTGCGGTGATCATAGGAGCTGCCAAGCAACCAGCTGCGATGGCAACATTGGCAGCCCTTCAGTAGGCTCTCCAGTTACTTCAGGGATATCTGCATCCCAGGAGGGAAATAGCTGTCTCCCTGTCACATCCTGCAATTCCAGCTGTGGCCGCACAACATCCTGTAGACAACCTTTGAGCTGCTACCTTCCAAGTTACCAGTCTTACGGCTGTCAACCCTTGGGCTACCTGGCCTATGGCCGTCAACCACTGAGCTGTCTTCTCCATGATCGACCACCACTGAGAAACCTGACCCATGGATGTCAGCCTTTCAGTTGCATACCTGACTACTACAGGCCCACAAGCTATACATACGGCAGGTTTCAACCATACTTCTCTTCCTTGAGTGGTTGGCGTTATTCTTACTAGAGAAATTCATGAGTAGCTGAAGCAACCTCATTCTTATAACTTTGAAAGAGATTTGCCACCATCACAGGGGGAGATCTTATTCCATGGGGCTATATTGTGTGTGCTCATCCTATAGTTATTCTCTTCAGCTGAACTTCTTGGTGATTTTGGGATGTGTATTACTTACTTTAGCATTTTTGCAAAGCTTGATATTGTTCTACTTTGGTAAAATGTTTCTCTTCTGTGTTCATTCTAAATAAATCATGGCTTTGCATAAAGATCATGCTTATCATGTGTCATCATTTACACGTGTGTAATTTGCCCTTAGTTTTTCTCCTTAGAAGCTGTGAACATCAGCTATTTTAGGTAAAAATGATGATTATTTGGGATTAACTATGGAGAATATTAAATATTTTCAGGAGTTTTTAGTTTCAGGAGTTTCAGGAGTTTAGTCACAGTACTTGGGAGGCAAAGGCAGGTAGATATCTATGAGTTTGAGATCAGTGTGGTCTATAGAGTGAGCTCCAGGTCAGCCACGGCTGTTATACAGAGAAACCCTGTCTCAAAACAAAACAAACAAAAACAAAAACACAAAACAAAGCAAAAAGGTACTTCCAGAAGCAGGGAGTTTCAATTTGACAGCATGTTACTAGTAATAGTGTTATAAGATATAAGCTCATAGATTTATACTGCCTCAAGTCCACAAAAAAAGGTATTAGTTTAGATTTTTCCAAGTTCATCTTTTGACATCACTGACAGAGTCCATTAGAATCTTCGTGCAGGTATTTAAAAAGTAATTGGCGGAGATGTCACTATGATGTGACTACTGAGAGACACTGGAGCCATACCCTGCTGCTTCGTCAGCATGGAGCTCATCTGTACGGTTTTACCTGTCCATACGAGATGCTATTACAGCTGATACAATTCTCTAAGTCCAGAAAAATAGGAACACAGAATTTGTAGAATATACCACCATTTGGCACAGGGACTAACCTAAGACTAACTGAGGGAATGAAAGAAAACAGAAAATGTTTTCCCACTAATACTTTAATAACAGCCGAGTTCTGCTGAATGTGAACATTGTAAAATTTTGCAAGGTCCACACACTCAATGTCCCTTGTTTGGTTTGAAAGATCCCATATTCTCTCAGTTTCATTTTCAAGGGGTACAATAATGGTGGATTGTAGTTCTTTTGTCTAAAACAACAGGTGTTTGTTGATTAATAATTTATCAGTTATTACTTTCAAATTGGAAATTCTATGTTTCTCTGAAGTGAATTCTTACCAAATCAAGGTGATATCCACAACCAATGATTTTGACGTGTTTGTTTTTCATCATCACCAGCATGCGCCCACTTTTCTATCACAATCACAGAGAGTAAATACAGTATGTCAGGGTCTCTTATATTTCCACACTGACAGTTCTCCATAAAACTGTTTTACTAAAAGAAAGTCATCATAACTTTACAATCAAGAAGGCCTGCATTTGGAAATGTCAGATAAATTGTCTGATATATCTTTCTGGTATTTATCTATGCATACACCTATCTCTACACCTAGAATATAAATAGATTAAGATAGATAGATAGATAGATAGATAGATAGATAGATAGATAGATAGATAGATAGATCACTTTCGGATATATTTGAAAATCATTGTCAGGTCTATTTTGTTTTAATTATTTACTTTTCAAATATTTAAGATGAGCTTTATACTACATTGAAAGAAATCAGAAAAATATTGTGACATTAAAGTCTCTTATTACATATTTCTGGTGCATAGCCATTATTAGATTTTTAATTTTGTTTTTAGTTATGTGATTATATGCATGTCTATGTGTGGAGTTACAGGAGGTTGTAAGTCGTCTGTGATGGATACTGGGAACTGAACTCTTGACCACTGAGCCATCTGCACAGCTCCCCATGTTTCTGGTGCACAGCACTTAATTGGCATTAACCTTAATCTTTACTATGAATTGAAAAGTGGTTATTTCTGTATTAATTGTTGCAGAAATAGGTTCAATTAAATGAATCCTATTATAAGATCATTACTGGTTCATGAGAAAAATCTTATTTTCAATTCAAAACAGTTTATTGATACCATAATATGTAGCTGATTTATAACATCACTCTATTAACAGAAGTAGATATAGCAGTGAAATCCAATTATTCTTCCAAGAAGAGTTTCAAAGGGGTAAATATTAAATAGTAGCAAGAATGTAAATTGAAACAACATAAATGGGTGATGCTCTGTCTGCATGAATAATAAACATGTTTTGTCACTAGAATAAATGAGTCACAACTGCTATAAAATACTCATTTGAAACACTCTTCTTTTACAACTACAAGCTACCAGTCCATACAGAGAAACATCACTGTTTACTAAACCAAAAAGGTGAATATACTCACTGTGAAATGACTCGATTTGGAAACAACTGTCTCAAGCTGTAGTCATTGTGTATAAATCAGCACTGTCCACAGCTTGGCTTTCTAAAACAATCATGTCAATTAGTTTAGTTTTAAAGTTTCATACATGTATATAATGTTGAAGAGATTCCTAATAAGATGTTTCCCCACCGATATGTTGACCCATGCCTGTGATCCCAGCATTTGTGATGCTGAGCATGAGAGGTCATAGGATGATACACAGTGAGATCCTGTTGAAGGAAGAACAAGAGATGGAAAAAAGTGTCCATCATCAATACCATGTGTAAACAACGCCCACTGAGTAACATAGTTATCAGGCATTGTGAGAAGAAAATTAAAGTTCATTTACAGATAATATAAAAGTTAGGCAGAGGGGCTACAAATGAACTGTAATGTATCATGGCATCATATCTGAATTGTCCTCCTGCAAACTGAAGAACGGAAGTAAACAAATAGGAAAATGAATGAGAGGATACATGGGGGGAAAAAGGAGGAAACTGCGAGTATTTGGATCACTGAAAACAATCTTGATAAATTTGGAAAATTTGGAAGATGATTAGCTGGCTGGAGCGTTGAAGGTCAAGGATGGTATAAACTAAGAAAGGGTGTGGAGGTAGATTAGGTCTCAAATACCCAAGAACAATACAAAGGAAAGCATAAGAGAAAGAATTTGCTCATCATGCAAGGAACAGATTGGAATGGGAAACAGGGAATCTTACAAGTAGGCTGTGTAGTTGTTAGACTAAGGATGAATGGTGGGTTCTAAATCAGCTTGATTGGAAAGTAAAAGGGAAGTTACACTGCTCAGAAGAGTGTTAGTCTTTGTCACTCATGGACAGTAAAGAGAAATGAATGAACCAATACTGGCATTGACTTTTAACTTGAGAAACTAGCTAAATAGTTTTCAACTCATTAAGACAGGGAAAATGTAGTTTAGCAAATCTAATAAGTAAAGTACAAACACTGCATTTTGGATAAAAAAAAAAAAGATTTAAAAAGGGTAATAGAAATCAAACTTGATGTGTTGGCATATGCCTGTGCCCCAACATTAGGGATGTGGGAGTGGGAAAATGAGGAATTCAAGGCTATCATTGATTACATTGTAAGTTCAAGGCCAGTCCTTCTATCAAAGAACAAGGAAACAAATAATTTAGGAAACAAACCAATACAGAAAAGTATCAAGTAGTAAGTTGAAATTTAAAATGTAATAGGTTTTGAAAGTTCACTTCATATACTATTTAAAATATTTCACAGATTGCCTAACTTGCTCAGAGAACTGATCATGAGAGATGCTGATAAAATAGCACATTGCTTACTGTCTCTATGAAGTAATATCTTACAGCTGGCTTTAAGCATAGGTTTTATGCATTAATTTGTGAACAAATTACTACAGAAGAAAAGACAGAAGGTAAGAAAGTTGGATAAGTGGAGCCTTCAGTGTCTTGAATTGGCATTATTCTATTCTACACTTACTAAAATTATTAGATACTTGGAACATGACGATATGCAAGATAGTGTTACCAACTTTGTATGAACTTGTTTGTTTCATTCCTGGAGGATAAGGAAGTTGTAAAAACAAAGAAATTCCAAATAAATATGTTAGTAATAATCTGAAAAATAGAACACATGTAAGCATATCCTCTCAATGAGGAACTGATGAATATTAGAGCCTTGTGGGAGATCTTCCTCTCACTTTCATTTTCTGATCATTAATTGTATATCTTCATTCTATTTTCTTGCCAGGATGTGCTGCCTCGGCAAACAACCAAGATTAATGAGGCAAACATCCTATGGCCAGGACCCTCCAAAAATGTGAGCCAAAATAAACATTTTCTTGTATAACTTGGTTATCCAAGGTATTTATTACAGTGATAGAAAATAACACAGAGGGGCAATTCTTAGTGAAAATGTGTGAGACTTAAAAGACCGAAATCTATGAATTTCTAAACAGCTAAATTAGAGAGAGAAATTAGAAAATATGAAAAAGGCTACTAGATAGAATTACCAAAGTCCTTGCATACCTGGATAAGAGTGTGGGGGTATGATGCAAAAATTAGGAACGTTGTGTATGAAGAAACTTAACGAAAACACGGAAGATGGCTCTGACTTTCTCAAGAAAAATAAGATTTAATGGCTAACTTTAGAGGAAATCAAAGTATTTCACTGTCAAATACAGAGTTCATTTTTCTGTTATTTCATTACATTCTCTACTTACCATTTTCTTAAATATGCATAATAACTTATATTCATTCTAACTTCATGTTACTGATCAGAGTAACTTCATGTACAGAGATGACATACACATAAAATTAAACATGGCCACTGTAGAGATTGAAAGAGATTATAAATATGTATAAAAGTGACACATTAGGCCACATTGCCAGATAAGTATATTGATGTCTGTCATCAATATGTGATGAGTTGACTGATATTAATTTTCTTGAAGTTATAGGTGCTAAATCCAGTAGATTCTTTAATTACTGATGATAATGATGGACTCTTAGTTATGACACTCTTGCTTCTATTGTGTTCAAACTACCCGATGCATTCCCATAGCCATCGAATAGAGACCAAATTTTTACTGTGGTCTAAAAA